CTCAGAAGTGTCTCTAAAGAACAGTTATTTCCAGAAGAGCCATTAAATGTGCAATGCAATAAAGGACATTGGAAATAATTTAAAATATCTGAAGCTACTTTCTTAATAATCAATGAGGTATTCAGTTACGTCTGTGCCAATGCAAGGCTTGGGTACAACTGGCCATTAGTGCAAATTGGTACCTTGCGTAACTGAAGTAAGACTGATGAAATGCCCAATCTGGAGATGATACAGAGCTAAGTGGAGCATCAGTAAAAGAGTTTCCTGTGTGGTTGCATCCACTCTTAATCTTGACATTTGCACTCACCTATCAGAGTCTTTTATAGGACAGACAAGTGTATTCAGCCTGTGTATTTCTTTTCTTGGCTTATTTTCAGGGCTCTTGATCCACGCGAAGGACGCTCAAAATTCTCAAACTCAAGCTCCAGCCATAAGCATTAAGATCTTCTTCCTCCCGGGACACATGTACGTACTCTGCGCAAGTTCAGACGTTTTCTTCTAAAAATCAGGTATTTGAAATTTCCCAGATTTCTTCTCCTTCTCAACATGTGTTTTTTAGAATTTTGAGGAAACTTAGATCAAAGGAATCTAAAGTTACAGATCCAAAGACAAAGTGATATATCCACAGGCAGGTATATATATTTTCTTCCAAATTAAATACATATAACTTTATATAATTATATATATAATTTTCAATCACTGTGTCAACATATTTACATGTCTATGTACATCATTTGGTAGAAAAAGGAATAAAAGTATGGGTGACAGAGTGGGGAAAGAGGACAGAGAGGAAACGAAGGGAGAAGGGATTGAATAAAGGAGAGATGCTGGGAGGAAATGCAGATGAGCGGCTGTAGTCTTAAAGAAGCTATTCTAATTATTATTATTTAGTTTAAGTAATTTCATTGTCATCACTGTTATTATGTGATGTGACATTTTATGATACCTAGAAACTGTTAAGTGGTGTAAAATAGAGGTTTAAAGAAAAAATGAGGAAAAAAATTCAACCATGA